ATACATATGCACATTTAATGTTAGTGGGACTACTCAGGGCCGTAAAGTTAAGCATGTGTAACAGGCTTGCCTTTCAGAGCTTGGGTTGAGTCCCAGGCTTGAAATTTTTCTGTTTTGATTGGTGGAGCCCATCCACCAATCAGGAGGCAGCAAGAGGAGTTAAGTCACACCCCTTTCCTGAGGGGAGGGGGAGAGGAGCTTTCCTCCCCCTTGGACCTGATTGAAGACTGCAACACTCAGGTCCGGAAGACTTCAGGGGCGGAGCCCTGGAGCGTATAAAAAGAGCTGCATGCCCAGCATGAGGGGAGCACATCTGGGAGCGAGAAGAGAGAAGAGTGGGGCTTAGAAGAGCTGAGGAGAGCTGCTCAGCAGGGTGAAACAGTAGCCCAGAAGTGTCCCTGAAGACTTCCATCAGTGGGGAACGGTGGATGGCTCCAGCAGCTAGGCTCTCAGTGTGCAGCACAGCGTCCAGACCCTGGGAGCTGTGTGAGGCGGCTTGGGTCTGCAACCTCTGGTGTGCGGCCAGAGATACGGTGCACAGGCCGGTGCATGGAGCAGGATCTTTGGAGTGCTTGGGCAGCTCAGGTCCTCACCCCCAGAACGAGGCTGGGAGCTCGGTGCAGGAGGCACTGCACGGAGGGTCTGGGAGTGGACCGAGCCTGGTGCTGCACGAGGCAGCCCAGGCCTCTGACCCATAGCAAAAGGTTGAGTCCAGGGAACCAGACGGTGCTCGGGCTACTGAGCCATCAGACAGGGCTGAGCCAGAGGCCCCAGAAGCCCGGCACAGCAGAGCCCTGTTCCAGGGGACAGCAACCCCCCACCCCCCAAAGCCCACTGCAGGTGAGAGAGCAGTCTGGCACAGAGGACGAAGACCACCCTCCAGGCCTGGGAGCCATGAGTTGCAGGGAAAAGAGGATTCCCACAGGGGAGGGGGAGTCCCCCCTGGTTAGTTAATGGCTCCTGAAAATGGAGGTCCCACTGAGAGGGCCCCTCTAAAGTTACCAGCTTTCTTGTAGGGCTTGGGAAAAAGCCCAAGGGCATTGGGGTTTCTCCTTGGGATTAAGTTTATCTTTGAGGCTCTTGCGCTGTAAGTGGTGTGATGTTGTGCATTATATTTTATGAACTCTCATGTTTGCAAATTAGTAGATGAGTAGAGTCCTAGGGCTCTGCCGGGACTTGCTGTTGCTATTATTTCACCTGTTGTTTATTTGTATTTATTTGTGGCTTATTTATTGTTTGCCTATACTTATCTATAGTTTATCTGTTGGCTATCTATGTTTATTTTGGGGTTTATCTGTTTCAGATCAGATACTTACCTGTATCTGGAGCACTGTTGTAAGGTTTTATAGCATTTACCCAGAGGGTATTGTTTATGTTATTTGTTTAGATATCCTATGTATATATATATTGTACATATGTTTATATTCATGTTTCTTTTCCTTGTAATAAGTTAATGTAAATAAATGTGTATATAGGTAAGTCCCCTGACTGTCCTGGTCTGGTTCTATAGGGATGGAGGGAAACTGAGCAGTCTGCAGTTCCCACCCCACAGCACACCTGCCAGCTAACAATCCCCTTCAATTGGAGAAGGGGAGTATATACCCAAGTTACCTGGGCTATATATGTAAGATTGTTCAGGATCGTGGGCAACACAGAATATATGGATCCTTTTGTTTCTAAACCTGAAGAAATGCATGGTGAAATGCAACACAGAAATGCAAGGTGCTCCACCTCAAGAGAAAGAACCCACATCACACTTATAGGCTCAGCAGTGCTACCCTCACTAGCACTATGACTGAAAGAGACTCGGGGATCATGATTGACCACAAGATGAATATGAGCCACCAATGCAATGCTGCAGCCAGCAAAGCAAATAAAACTCTGGCTTGTATCTACCAATGCATCTCAAGGAAGACCCAAGAAGTCATCTTCCCGCTTTACTCAGGCTTGGGGAGGCCACAGCTGGAGTATTGCATCCAATTCTGGGCTCCACAGTTTAAAAAGGATGTGGAGAAACTTGAGAGAGTCCAGAAGAGAGCTACACACATGATTAGAGGTCAGGAGAGCAGGCTGTATGGGGAGAGGCTGAGAGGCATGGGATTCTTCAGCCTGGAGAAGAGAAGGTTCAGGGGGGACTTGGTGGCAGCTTGTAAGTATCTAAGGGCTGTACATCAGGAACTGGGAGAGCCTATGTTCACCAGGGCACCTCAAGGGAAGACAAGGTCTAATGGTCACAAACTGCTAGAAGACCGTTTTAGACTGGACATAAGGAAAAACTTCTTTATTGTCTAAGTCTCCAGATTTTGGAATAGACTCCCTGCAGAAGTGGTGCAAGCACCTACTCTGGATACGGTCAAGAAATGCCTGGATGCTCACTTTCCTGGGGTCATCTGACTCCAACTGATTTCCTGCCCTTTGGGCAGGGGGCTGGACCCGATGATCTTGCAAGGTCCCTTCCAGCCCTAACATCTATGAAATCTATGAAGCTTCAGAACCACTCTGTCATCTCTACTAGTAGCTCCTTTTCAATCTGCTTATGGACAATAGTAAATGGGTTGGACTGTATATATCCTTATGCAGAGGTTCTTTGGTCTCTAGGTCCATTTTGCTTTTATGTGAAGATTTCTGTTCCCAAGTGGTTGCATGCTGTGAGTTGTGTCAGATTCCATGCTGCTCATTTAGAACCTGACCTTGCAGCGCTGCCAGGGGCTGAGATCCATGAACCTCTGCTGTGGCTACTATGAACTGAGGTTATTCAGAACTTAGCAGTACTGCACAACACACAGTTCACCATTTGCCAAATTTGCTTTATTTTCTCTTTTAAGCTTTGAGCAGATATATGTTTTTTTCTGATTATCATCTGTATCCTATTTTCTATTAACATTTTAATAAAACAGCTTTACTTTAAATATACAAGTTTTAAAACAAGATAAAAATATTATCGTGTATTTCCAACATGCTGAATCTTTTCTTCTTCTTCTTCTTCTTCAAAATAATGTTTAATATTTTTACATTAATGAATTTTGCTTCCTTCAGATTCATTATATTGTACAGTCCTTTTTTATCTTAATGACATCAAACTAGTTAGGCCTAAGTCCACAGCATTTAAGTCACAATTTGTAAATATAAACCCTTCTGATATTTTCTGTTATGTTAGCAGTTAGGTAGGAGATGTGTTTAGAGCTAGTATTAAAGTAAAAGCAATATAAATCAGGTGTCTTTAAATAAAATTCTACTGATCTGTCAATCAAGGTGAAATACTAAGGATGTGTAGTTTAATGGGATGCTCATTTGAGAAAAGAATCAGATGTGCCTCTGCATGTGAAGAATCATGGCTGCAGTAGGCTGTTAATTATAAAATGTCAAAAAATAGCACATGTACTCTCATTCAGAAGAACTAAATATCTATAATAGAAACTTCAGCAACCTACCAAATAACAAAGGAAGAGCAAGTACTAGGCCCATGCAAGACAAGAGAGAAAATTATACATCATTAACAAATAAATATAAATGAGCAGTTCTCCAATACAGGCCTGAGCCAAAGCCCATAAGAGCCAGTAAAAAAAAATCCCATTTACTTCAGTGAACTCTGGATCAGGCCATAAATTATCTTTACATGGCATAGAAACCTTTTCAGTATTAGGGGATGATCTGGGTCATTGATATGGCATGGGAAGAACTTCTTATGAAAAACATTTAAAATACTCCTTCAGGGGAAGAAAAAACTTCTTCACTAGAGTGGCTGGTTGTTGAGAGAGAATTCTTTTTCGGATGATGTTCTTGGCCAGAAGATGTAAATCCACATTTAAGTCTGAGAGAGAATATTTGCTTTAAAAAAAAAAAAAAAGAATTAAAAATCTCAGAAAGTTCCTTTCACAAAATGTTCTCCAAAATATCTCTGGTGCATGGGTTTAATCCTGGAAGATGCTATGCAATCTGGTCCTGGTCCAGCAAAGCCTTAATACTTTTTAAAAAAGCTTTAAGCTTGTTATCAGTTTTAGTGAGTTTATCACTGTGCTTAATGCTGAAAATATGCATTTGTCTATGCTAGATAAGGGCCAAAGGGTGTAGGGTTTTGAACTGCCTTTCAGTTGGTGAAACTTTCCTTTTCTCCAGCCCTCACAGATGCAGCCCATTCAGTTAGTGCCATCTATGCAATGGGGTTGCTGATCACAAGAAAGAACTACTCATTAGTGAAAGAGCTGGTGGAACTAGGCTCCAGATTACCAAACGAGTAGTGGATAACTTTATTACACGTAATGACATGAACAATACCCCACTGGTTTGAAACATTTTCAAATGCTGAAGATTGTTTTTTAGCAGCAGCAGCCTCTTCACAGATGCTGTAATAGGTGGAAATATAGCTAAGACCTCAATATGCCTGAAATGGCACCATGGTGCTGATGAGTCAATTAACCAAAAGTTTGGCTCATGTATCATTAGTGAGCATTGAAATAAAACAGGTTCATTATAGAGTTCAGAACTGTCTAAAAGAACCTTCTTTGATATGCAAGACCACAGGTGGGGTTGTGGATATGCTCTAGCAGCATCATTGTGGAGTTCATGCCTTATGTGATACACTTCTCAGAAGACAATTTTGCTGAAAGACATTTGGGAAAGCCAGAAAGTGTGGGATGGTTTCTAGACAGAATCCGTGAGAAATCCGTGATCCTCCTAGGAGTACTTTCTGAAGTGCTAATAGTAGCATTTGTTTGGGTTCTATAACTGATTTTCCAGTGTCTTATAGCTGAATAGATAAAATGGAGGTTTCATTGGTATTTTTATCATGAAATCTGTATCATGAAGTTTCCTACCTGACTGCAAACGTTAAGGTTAAAAAAAAACAACCCAAAACCCACAACAGTTTTTGGGTATTCAGTGCATCTCAGGGTCAACCCTAACATTGGCATATGTTCACAGTCTGGAGGATAATGTATGTAGCTCTTAAAAAGTGAGAATGAGAGACCAATACAAACAAGTTGAACTGGAGAACTGAGGGTCTACATGAAGAGTGAGAGGTAGAATTCTCCAATTCTTTTTTTGCTAAAGCCCCATTTCCAAATTTCTGACTTGGGCTTTAGGAGTTGTTGCTGCTTCGGATATTGCTTAATTAGACCACTTAAGTGAATGGAACTTATTTCATCCCTGTCTGAATGTCTTCCAAACTCAGAATACCAGTTTGGCTTGCTTGCAGATGTGGGAATGTGGGAACTATGGAAAGAGAGTGGAAGGATAATGGAGAGTTATAGGACACTGAAACTTTGGAAGGGTCAGAGGATGGACATGGTCAGAAACTCCTTGAAGCCTTCATCTTTTTTCAATCAATGATAATCTACTCTTTAAAATCTTGAAAACAAACTGGTACATCACCTCTTAACAGATGGTATGTTACTCCATATGATCACGGCATTCTGGATAGTTTCTCCATGTTCCCTGTGTACAGTCACTGCCTCTGTCTTTTTTTAAAGAGAAAACTGTGTGAATGTTTTAGGGCTAAACATCTGTCAAGTGTTAATCTGATTTTGCATACTGGTTAGGATACATACCTAGTTAGCTTTCCATTTTTTATTGTATTCATTTTGGGCTAGACTGGGGCAGCCTTTTGTTCAAGTAGAAAAGCAGAAAAGCTGGCCTAAACTTTGCAAACTTGAAATTTCAATAACATTTTAATTTTGAAAAAATAAAAAAATAGATCAGAACATTTTTGATATTTTTTCCTGTTGTTTGATTAACTTTATAATGTTTTTGTCTCCCTAATGTTATAGAGCTGGTCAAGAGCTTTTGAATTAAAAAGGTGCGAATTTGTTTTACAATTTCCTCCCTTTTCTGGCCAACTCCAGTGAGCGTAGTACTTACACAGTAGTCCTATTCACTTTTGGGGTAAGGATTGTGCTCTCTCTTCCCCTATATACATTCTAGAATGGCAACAAACAGTTGTGTATTGGACAAAGAGAGACTAGTATTTCTAGGAATAAATTAATTTTTATAAATTACAATGCAGAAAAGGGAACAAAACTGTTGACCTTCAAGTTACTCATAACTCATTATAAGTATTGTGTGAGGCTACCTAGAAACTGCAAGAGGTTTAGCATAGTTTTAGTTTTATTATTGGTGGTACTTTCCTTCCATATTCAGCTTTCTAATCTCTCCAGCAAATATACCTATTGTACATGTCCTTTTAACTTGCATCCTTTTTGGTTATTTGACTACTTCTAAGAGGTGACATTGTTTCAGGGTACTGTTTGTGTTCTGTGCTGACTGCTTCCTGATTTGTTTTCAGGAATAAGCAGTTTCTAGTGAAGTCAGCAGGATCAGCTGGTGCTCATCCTTTCTGACCACCAGGTCCTCATATATCCGGCCCTGCCTCTTACAATCAAGAAGACATTGTGATGAATATGTTGCTGTTCTTCAGCCGATAATACTGTAAGCCTGTAAATAATCTATCTCTCATCAGAAATTGGCAAGGCAGCCTGGATGGCTGATAGTGTTGCTCATATTGCATACTACAGATCTCTTCAGTTTGGAAGGGCTATAGATGTGTGGACCAGTTATGGTTTGTAAAAGTTTGAGATTCTTAAATGAGCTGTGCTGTAAACTCAGAACTGGAAAACATGTTGACTAACGTCTGACTAATCTTTCGTATGGGCAGCACAAGCAGAGAAACTTTCCAGTTTTTGTGGTACACACAAGTATTTTGATTACATGCATGCCTTTCTTGGAATGTCCACTTACAGGACCTAACAGAGATAAGTCTGATCTAGAATTGCATACATAGCTCCCTGCAGACTTTTAGGCAGTTCAGATCTGGATTTAATAATCTCAAGCAGATGGATCTGAGTCAGAATCTGGGCTCTTAACTGTTCTTCTCCTCTGTACACTTGCTTCAAATTTACATTCAGAGCCCAATCCAAACTTCTTGGATTCACCCATTTCTGCTCCTTAATCAGATAGAATGGAATACATTTTGAACAACATGAAGCACTGCTTTTCCTCCACAAGTTGCCTTTTTTCCTTTACAGGCACAGCCCAAGAAGTAAGTTGGGTTTTCCATAGGGCAGTGCATTATCATTCTTGAAAAACAATATACATTGCAATATGAAGAGACCCACTGGCAAAACACAAAGGAGAAACAATAATGAGCAACAGTTATGTGGGGAGGAAATGCATTTTCTGTGTACCTTAAAGAATCGAGATGCTGTATCTCTGTCTTCTTCTGTCAGCACCAGATTATCCACAAACATCCAAAAGAATGGCCTCTCACTATTCTCTAGGGGTTTCCCATATTGTAGAATCCGGTAATATTGATAGAAGTACCATGCTGAGAGGAGAGTGGATGACAAGAGAGCATAGACTTGCCCCTCAACCCACAGTGTTTGGCATATGGACACTGCAGCCCCAGAACAGAGCTGAGAACCTCTGTGTGAGCATCATAAAAAGCAGCACAGGAAGATTGAAAACTAGTGTGAATACCACACTCATGAGCACCACTTCTGCACTCAAATGTGAAGTTTTTTTTGTAACATTAGCTCTTTTATGGAAGTACTGTATAGCAGAGAGGGATTCCAGGGGCCAGATTTCATTTCAGGTGCAAAGTCATTGACATGAATCTGCAGCTGCTTCTATCAGGTCTGCATTTGGCACCAGTTTCCATGTGGGATACAGGCCAGTTTGAGTTGGAAATAATTAATGAGCCTTTTTGGTCACAAAGGATTCAGCTCAGCAAATGGCACATAATCCTTGTTCTGGGCAGCTTATGAAGACTTCCTCACCACTTAAGAGAAAGATGCTGTACCTTAGGGAAGTGTGGAGGCTGATACACCTCTTGTTATCAGGTGCCACATAATTACTTCTCATGACACCAGCCACCACAGCTGTAGGATGCTTAAGAGACCAAAACTGTTTGTTTCCCCTAGGAGCATTCTTAGCAAGTGCAGACATTCTGAAATGCAGCCCAGCTCAGAAAGGGCTGGACAGCCTTTACATGGGGAAAGCTACTGACTCCCACAGCTTTCACTGCACATCTGCCCTATGTAATGGGGAGACAGAATCCGGCTTCTACTGCTGAGATATGGGAGTCTTTTTTCATGTCTACATTACTAGATGAAGAGACACAGCTAGTGAACACAGTTCTTGAAACTTTTAACTATGTATCACTGTGCAGAAAAACATACAAATTGTGAGCATGCTAAAACAGGCGAAGTGCTAATCAGATATAATAGTAAGTTCTCTCGAAGCATTACACAATAAAAGAGGAGGAAAATATAAGGTTGTGTGTCATAACAGAGTTGACAGCTTGTGGGCTGTGCCGTCACCGCTTTGTGCCATAACAGCACAAAACACCTGCAATTCCTAACTGGTGTATACTTCCTTAAACCTCCTACATCCAAGCCCTGTAACACAGAGTATATTTTAATATTTATATTAAAAAGTATAATCAGATTGTACTGTGATTTTGTAGTCTGGCTGACACAGCAGATGCTAGTGTAATTTAGAGCTGTCCTCAGACATCTCTCAATTATAGTGGTACCAAACTTGTCCTCCAATAAGTTTGGGAATTGTAATCATTGCTTTTCCTACCCCATCTCCTCAACTGTGACATAAGCAGTACAACTGATGATCTAACTCTATAGGACTAATGCTTTACATATCAATTTATAACCCATTGCATTTCTTACCAGGAGGATGATCATACGAATTTCCAACCGGAGGAGTGGAACCAAATATGAAATCAAAAGGACCCCATTCTTTTACCTGATGAGATTGTACAGATTTCAAAACTGTTTGTTTTTAATTTTTTTTAATGTTCATATTCTAATAATGCTTTACATTGAAATGGAAGTATTTGCTTATGGACATTCAGATACCAAGGTGATAGGCATAAGGTAAGAATCTAAATACAAGACAACCTAAAATGATCTGTAGCCCCCACACCACAGCAGTTTCTCCAATGGATAGTGCCATGCAAAAACAGTTTGAACATCACCAGGAATCCTTCCCAGTCACAGCATATTACATAGTCTTATAATCGCAAGGAGAGCTTATGTTTAACATTTACATTATTATTATACAGTGATTACTTTGCTCTCACAGAAGAACAACCAGACTCTTGATGTTGACTAGAACCATCAGTTCAGACCACCATGTTCCAAGATGGTGCTTGATGTGTAACTTCTGTAGTTTCACCCAGCACTCTTGCTTAATAACAGTAGCTGCACTACACACTTGGAAAAAATGATCAACTCTCACTATTGACCTGACTTTGATGCTTTGAAATCTGATTATGGAAGGCCACATTTTCCAAATGTTATCTCTATTGGTGCACATGCAATTTGGCACTCAAGTCACTTCTATGTGAAATTTTTGCACATTACTGTTGTACATGCAAATCATTGAAAATCCAGAGGCAGGAGTCTGAAGAGAGTATGTCAGCTAACAAGGACTGTGTGTAGCCCTTAAAGTCATGGGGCAGTGAGGAAATTGCAAATACATGGGGTTAATGTAGTTAGCTCCATGAAAACGGGAAAGAAAATGTTATTCCGTGTCTCTGCCCTTCTGTTGAAGTTGGTATAATACATGAAAAGACTGGCCTGGGCAGAGCGCAAGGCTTTGCTATACAGTACCCTAGAACAAAATGCAAAGAGCTAACAGTGTGGAGAAGCCGATGGCAGTGTTATGAATGGGCAGGTTATGAAATGCAAAATGTGGTATGAGTTATGCTATTTGTTCATTACTGAAATTACATACACATTGGCTATGTGGTTTCTGCATGCAAGTGAGGATTGCATGAGCGGAAGTGCTTACAGACTGACTTGGATTTCTGCAAGATTTCACTGTGAGATTCTGCTGATGCAAATGAAAATACTTATGTTAAGTGGCGTATCTCAGATCCCTGGAGCAGGGGAGGTTATGGTTACTTGACTAAATCCTTGCACTATGTTCTTGGTTGAGTCACATATTTAAATGAAAAGAGAGATTCCAAATTTTTCATATTATATTAGGTCTGGCTTGATAACCATGGGGCCAAATTTCCATTCTCTGCCTACATAGATCAAGCCAGAAGATCTTCTAGTAGGACCCTCTCCAGGCAGTGGGCAATGGAATTATTTACTATTTGAAGTGTATAGCCCACTGGACTGTAATGGTAGGTGCTGTACAACTACATAAGAAGGCAGGATACCCACTCTCAAAAGTTTAAAATTTAAGAACTTGATTCAGTGCTTGTTGGAATCAATGTAAATACTCCCATTGATTCCAGTGGGCATTTGATCAGACCTTCAGAAAGAAGGCTGTAATCCAAGAATTTGATGCTTTCACTTCTCAACTTGGATCCACAGTGTAGTATCACTCAGCCATCACCCAGTTTAGATCCTTGAAGCACGTAGCTGTGGCAGTGTCTAGAGCCTGCTTCATATTCAATTCAGGAAGATTTTAGCTGCTGGATCCACATAGTTTGCAGATACAGTCTCCAAAACCCAGCTTCTTCCTGTTGTGCTATCAGTTCCCCTCTCCACTCATTAAAGCACTGTCATGATGATGAGGACTACTCTTGAACAGAGATCCAGGCGAGACTGCAAGGATCCCTTGCACAGATTTTCTTTATCCTCCCTGCTTTCGTCCCCTGGAAAGATGAAGGTTCTGCTTCTGTTAATGTTTGCCAAGCCTGTGTAAGGGGTATGAGCGGGGCAGCATCCCTCAAAACATAACACAGCAATCAATAATTGGGGTAGTGCATTGTTAACTTGAGAAGTTTTCTGCATTGTACTTACATTCATCCTTAGAATATTGGTGACATCATGTAAATATTTCAACCTGCCGTTCCCCAGGCTGCTATCCAAAAATCCAATACTTTTCATCTCTGAAGAGTGGAGATTAGAAATAGATTGTTTAGTAGTGGCATTAGGAGCACGGTCTTCATTCTACAAGGAGTTATAGTACATGTCTAATTTAAGTCTGAGATTAGTTGGATTATTCCTGTGCTTCAGATTAAGCCTGTAGTTGATTACCTTGCTTGATCAGGGTCTTATGGAACATTGTGGCAATTAAAATTTAAGCAGATAGCTCTTATGGGACAGAGCTGGGTATTTACAGTTGCAGACATTGCATAGGTGAGTAGAATTTGTTGAAGTCTTTGTGTTGAAGCAAAGAATATTCCAAAAGCTGGATTGCAAATATCAGAACAAACTAGCTAAACATTATGCAGTATTCTTCTAGAAATGGCTACATCTGGATGAGCTATGAATGGAAGAATTTTGAACAAACCTATACAGAGTGTAGCCAGTGGTTTTAATGATGATACCTTTTTTTAAATGAAAGACATTTTAATTTAAAGGTTTTGAAATGGACCAGATTTTATTTTTCCCATGTTTTGTTACATTTTTATATCTAAACGTAATAGAAAAAACCAATGCATTATTTTGATGGCTGTTTCAATAATGTTTCAAGGAAAAATATAAAGGAGAAAATATAGTTAACATTATTAAAAATGTATATGCAAAAGATTTTGAAAAGTTTTTTCCTAAACAGTTTTGTTTTTAAAAGTCACTTTTTGTAAGAAATATTTCATTAAAATTTTTGAAAATTTCTAAAGCTAGACATAAAGCTGTAATGTGTAGGAGGATGATGTATGTGTGTGTGTGTATGTGTGTGTGTGTGCATCATATTGAATGATAAAGAGTAAAATTAATTGTTGATGTCATATATACACTTACCTGGTGTAATATTATCAAAAAGGGAGAGAATGCTGATTGGTTTTCGTTCCCATGCAGGTACAGGCCGATAAATTTTGAAGTGGTTCTATTATATAAATAAAATAAAAATCCTTGTTTGCACAAGCTATTCAGTTATGTGAACAGTCAAAACTGTGTCCTAATAATTAAGGATAAGAAGCACATGGTTATGTTTATCTGACAGTCAGTTTATGATGTAAATGCATCATCACATTAATAGCATCACAGGCATGAAGTGTAATTTTGAATGAAGAAAAGTGACAATTTCATTTGTTGCTCTTGACTGAACGTGCTCATTTTTATACATGAAATGTGTGTGTGTGCATAACCTGTCATTTTTAAATGGATCCAGCCGGGTCCTCCTTTCAGTGGACATCCATATTCCCCAAACTTCAGACAGTTACATAAAACAACTATAGTTCTTCAGATCCTGGGAGAATACTGATTTGAAAGTACACTGCAAATACATACCTAGATAGAGGTGGATTCAAGAATCCAAGTGGTGCATTTACACCTTCCTTTTGATTCCTGTTTCACCCAAAGTTGAAAATCAGTATTTCTATTTAGGCAGCAGTGAGGGAGCCAACTGACTTCATGGCTCACTGTAATCTACCTGATTTCTTCTAAACTCTTCATTTCATAGGTACTACTGACCCTCTTTCCTTTTTAATGGCATTGATGTTCAGCTAACCAAGCTAGCCTTTCTTTTGCAATTTTGCTGCCTGCTAGCTGCTCCTGGTAATTCAGCTTATATTTCACAGCCTTGTAAACTATTTTTAACTCTAGGAAACCTTAACTAATGTGGGAAAATAACTTTCAGTGAAGCATTCCATGCATTGTCAAGACACTCTAGAAGACTACATTTTGTTTTATGAATCTGCAAAGAAGAGATGTCCATTTAATTCTAAAGACTGCAGGGCCAATTAAACATCTTTTGATTATTTTTGCCTAGTTTGATGTGTTTTTTATACATAATACACGATATAGAAAATTGATGCTCATTCCTATAAATTTATATTGGTGTTTGCTTCAATCTTAAACTGAATAATATAGCCCTAGGCCACTAGCTTTTTAGTAAAGCTTCTAGTTTCTTCTTAACTTGATAACCATATGCACTGTGTTCTATGTAACAATGCACCAAACCATCTGCACCCCTTTTACAAAATTCTAGATCTATCCATGTATATAGATATCACTTTCCAGGATACTGTAAATATTCTTTTATGCACATGGGTTCCATTTTATTTTTTAATCTCAACTTCCTTTTCTCCAACTTCAATACTTACAATTTAAAGCAGGATAGACACTTCCCTCTGCTGTGATAAACTGGTGCATGGCAGGCAAATGGGAAGCATCCAGTTTCTGATTACTAGTTTCAATTGGTACCGATTTCTTCTCAAACCCTAAACTGCTACATTGTATAGAAAGGATAAACATGGCCTAAGATTACCATGGTGTATGAGTGCTGCAGAATATGATCTTTGCATCTGAGACATTTGCTTTAGAAGGAAAGGCTGAAAGAACTGTGATTATTTGGTCTGGGGAAGAGAAGAGCGAGGGATGATCTGATAACAGTGTTCAAACATCTGCAGGTTGGTTATAAACAGGATGGTAGTAGTCTTCTCTGTGGCCACAAAGGATGGTGATCTTATATTGTAGTGAAGTAAATTTAGTTTGGATATTCATAGAACTTTCTCACAGTGAAGGTTTAAATATTTGGACAGGCTATCCAGAAGGGTTGCAGAATCTCCAACGTTGGAAGTTGTTAATAGCAGATTAGATAAACACATGTCTAGGATGGTTTAGACAGGAATAATCCTGTGTTGAGCAGGACATTGGACTAGATGACCTCCTGAGGTCCTTTCCAGCCCTACTTTTCTATGATTTCATGAGTATTCAATGCAGCACTTACAGCCCAGGCTGACTGGCACTTTATTAAAGCTTTCAGGAGGCAAGTTTCGGAATCTCTCAGTGTACTTCAGGCATAGAAACATAACACAGGCAATGTGGAGGGCTGAGGAAAGCAGAAATTTGACTCTGTGATTTCTGCCAATTTGATCCAAAAATTTGACCCCTGCTTTTTAATGCTCTAGAGGAAAACAGCCTAGAGAAAAAGACTTCCACTGATTTCAGTACTCTTTGGATCAGTGAACATTTTAACACTGTGTGTGATCAAGGGTAAGAATAATTGATAGTAAGGATGAAATCCCACTACATTAATTGCCAATGCCAATATGAGTAACTACATATTGTGTCTTAAAAAAAAACCACTTCACACAGCTCAAAGTTAATTTGGATTCAGCAGCAGAAAAAACATCAATGCAGTTCTGCTCAGGACTAAGGCCAGTAATATGGCCCCTCTAAATTTCTTTTTCTGCATGTGACAAAGCTTCACATTCTCCCTAACAGTAGAGCTGATAGACCTCTGCTTCCATCTGCTGGAGACAAAACGCATCCAAAGTGATGGTATCTTTAAGTAGATAAGTACTTTATGGCTCCATCTGGCTAGAAGAAGAGAACTGTAGCCCTACTCCTACCAGACACAGAAAAATTTGGGATATACTTAAAAACCCTAGAGCTGTTTCTATTGGTAAGAGCCTGGTTCACCTACTACATTTTAAATGTTTTTGTACAAAGGAAACAAGGCAAGCAATTATAGGTGAACCTAGCTCTGAATTCTATGTCGCAAATTATATTGTTTCTATAATGGTTCTATAATCAACGAAACCCATCATTCTTTTGGCCTATTGTGTCGTGTGTCCTGGCCACTCGGGGTCAGATCATACTCACTTATTAGAAGCCTAATTGACTTAGGCGCTTAAGTGCAATGCTGCTCCATGTCTCTTGAGTTTCTGAAAACTAATGCAACTATTTTTGCAACGTGCTGGGCATGTCTACATGAGATGTTATGGTGCAGTAGCAGTGAGCGACTGTGCAGTAGCTTTGGTGGGCACTAACTGTGACACGATGCTACTGTGCAGTAACATTGGTTAACTGCGTACTTATTTAGTACTTGGTTATGCAAATACTGAATGACTGTGCAGTAACAACTGCGCAGTCCACTACTCGTGTGGATGCGGCTGCTGTTATCTTAGTCTTAAGACTAAGTTACATAAAAAGCAGCAGAGAGGAGGAGGATCCACCCACCTTTTATTTTAACCATTTTTCAGGGACTGCAGCAAGGTGGAATAGGATCACCTAAGTTCATTTAGGTGCCTATCAGGTGGGATAGGATCAAGCCCTAAAGGATCAGTGCGCTTGCTGGATAATCAGGAGCATATTTCTCTCCCCCCACCAACTTTTAAACCTTTTGGTGGAAAAAAATGTTTAAATGGTCAGGACTGCCAAGTTCTGAGTTTTTTTAGCAAAAAAAAAAAAAAAAAGGATTGAGGCATCTGTACAATTAGAAAGACATATAGAAAGAAAGATAAGATGGCAGTTGCATCTGTGCCAGTATTGATATCCCATTTCTTTAATTTCATATTTCAATTTAGATTCTTCTTACAGACTCCTGATCGTAGAAACATTTCAGTCTTGTATGCCATCTTTGTTTCTTCTGCAGTAAACCATGAGAGCTCAAAGGCAAGCACATAAAACACAGCCAGGTATTCATAGCTTTCACTTTCTCTGCAGTGCCAGGACTGACAAGGACATCCAAGCATTTGAAGCAATAACCCCTAAGGAAATAATAATAATAATAATGTCATTCCTTTATTCATAAAATTACCTTTCCACACACCCTAACACAGCCAATGGCTCATGTTGACTACTTTGCTTCTTTTCTGTTTGTTAAAGTTGTACCCCAAATAAGTATCCCTTGGAAATCTTTTACTGAGTATGCTGAGATACTATCTGCTGTCAATAAAGCATCTAAGCATCTGTGAGCAATCCCCTCTGCAACCCTGTGCAGATCTTTAAATCAACCAACATCAAGAAAGAGTCAAAGAAATAACTCTAGGTTTCATGCAAAACTCACTGTGTGGCAGGACTCAAAATGCTAGGAATTAGGTTTCTCAATGAAATATCCATCCATGCAAGATATGCCTGGTAAATATACTCACATATTATTTTAATACCAAATCTAAGGAGCAAATCAATCTCCCATTGAAGTTAAGGACATCCTTGAACATTACAGTAACCTCAAAGAGTGGCAGTTGCCAACTAGTGAGAAGGGCAAATATTTGGCTTTCTCTCCTGCTGGTTGTGTGGAGGGAACTGACCTGTTTTTCATTTCATTGGATTATTGTTTCTAGAAATACAATTTCCATTGCAGGTCATGCCAAAGAGTGGCCTTAACATTGGGTGCTGAGCACTTCAGCAAAATGTTGTAGGTTGCAATCACGGCATATACGGGAGGCAAGGGAGTTTTGTCACTGACTTCAATGTGGTTAGAATTTTACCTATGGCTCCTCTATGTATAGTTGGTGAATTTGTAACATCCCCTTTCCCCTGTTGTTGTCTACTCATTATTTAGCCACTTCCAGAGAATTTATTCTCTTGCCTAATTTAAATGTAATACATTGGTACAAATATAGATTTCATAGATATTAGGGCTGGAAGGGACCTCATAAGATCATCGGGTCCAGCCCCCTGCGTAAGGGGCAGGAAGTCAGCTGGGGTCAAAGGATTCAAGCAAGATAAGCATCCAAATGTTTCTTGACAGTGTCCAGAGTAGGTGCTTGCACCACCTCTGGGGGGGAGTCTGTTCCAGGCCTTGGGACTGAGACAGTAAAGAAGATTTTCCTTATGTCCAGCCTAAAATGGTCTTGCAGAAGTTTGTGACCATTGCACCTTGTCATCCCCTGGGGCACTTTGGTGAAAAGCCGTTCCCCCAGATCCTGATGCACACCCCTTATGTACTTATAAACTGCCACCAAGTCACCTCTGATCCTGCTCTTCTCCAGGCTGAAGAGTCCCATAGCTCTCAGCCTCTCTTCATAACACCTGTTCTGTTGCCCTCTGATCATATGCATGGCTCTCCTCTGGACTCTTTCAAGCTTCTCCGTGCCCTTCCTAAATTGTGGACCCCAGAATTGGATGCAGTACTCCAGCTGTGGTCTCACCAAGGCCAAGTACAGTGGGAGGATGACATCCTGGGTCTTGCTCAAGATGCATTGGTAGATGCAAGCCAGAGTTTTGTTCACTTTGCCAGCTGTGGTATTGCATTGGTGGCTCATATTCATCTTGTGGTCAATCATGACCCCCAAGTCTCTTTCAGTCATGGTTCTAGTGAGTGTAGCATTGCTGAGACTATAAGTGTGATGCGGGTTTTTATTCCTGAGGTGGAGTACCTTGCATTTCTCCATATATATACTATTCTTTAGTGATCTGAACATTTCCTTCACATTTTTGTTGACAGATTTTTCTTTTTTTATTGAGCTATACAACTAAGTGTTTTTAAGTGAAGGGTTTGCAAGTAATCCTTACCATGCTGCTAGAATTATTTGTTGTCTAACAGTGAGTTTTAAATGCACATATGCAATAGAAATCCTGGCCTCTTGCATAATTTCAGGACCATCATGGCTACAGCATCACTTTTACACAACCATATGAGCATAGGGCATTTTAGAACCTGCATACCTTCAACAATATGATTATGAAGGTAGAACTTATTAGTGGGTCCAGATTTAAATCCTTATACCCTACATACCGCAAAAGTGCCCCTTTAGGCTTTGCTAAAGTTTCGAACTGAATTTGAATGTTCTCAAACTCTTTACCTGTTACAAGTTGGTTCATCACACATGAGCAGGATCTTTCCCGAGCAGCAGATGGTACAGTAAGACTGCAAGCCATCATCATCATACAGGAAGAATGTTTCCAGAAAGTTCTCCTTAAAAAGATCAAAATATAGTTGTAACCCTGCATTTATTTTATAAAATATAATAACCATTCTGAATGGTGTTTACTTTGGCATATAGACTTCATTGCTATACTGTATTATATTTTTTTTTAGGTAGCCCTATTTGTATGCAGGGAGTTTTGCAAACAGATGACAAGATAAGCTTCCACCCCCTAGAACAGCATTTCTCAACCTGTGGGTTGTGACCCAAAAGTAGGTTGCAAGAAGATTTCAGAGGGTTGTGAGTCATGTGTTGAGAAATGCTGACCCCAAGAAAGTGTGGAAACTGTGGCAGGGCAGAGTGGTGGGGGAAGGGGGTGGGGGAGAGCTGTGAGGCCGGGCTGGATGTTCGCAGGCATGGGGTGGCTAGGAGATACTGCTTAGGGGGTGGAATGGGCTGTGATCAGGATGCCTGGCACAGCATGGCAGCCCCAGCCCAGGGCAGGGGCTGTGACAGGCCTCCCCTCCTCCTCCCTCCAGCTTGCTCCGCTGCCGCCCGCATGAGCTGGAGCCACTGCAACCACTGCACTCTTGCCCGAGCAGGATGGGGGCAGCTGGGGGCTCTCCAGCAGTGATGGGTGGGCAGGGAGCTGTGGGTTGGCAGTGAGGGGCACTGGCAGGGCTAGAGGGGAGCTGCAGGGGCTGCAGTTCGGGAATGAGGAGCACCAGCAAGGCTGGTGCACTGGCAGGGACGGGGTGGGGGGTGAGGGTGGAGACAGGCCATGAACCTTTGGAAATGGGTCCCGATAGGAAAAAGATGTGAGTACTACTGCTCTAGAAGCTGCATGTGAAATGAAATGTCTACTGGATACTGACAAAGGATGGTGAAGAATAGGGAGTAACATAAAAGAAATGTGAGCAACTACATGAGCTGGGTCATGTGTCTCATTAGTTCCAATTTGTAAAATGTATTACTTATTTGTATTTGTGTATAGTTAAACTGTGATGTTAGCTGAACTACAGGATATGAGCTGAGAAATGGAGGTGAGTGTTGATAGCTGGTAGTTCACTCATAGATGTTAAGGACAAAATGGGTCTCTATGACTACCTCTTTTGATCTGCTGAGTAACACAGGATTTAGAGCCTCATACAGTATTTTCTAATCAAGGCCATAGGCTTTTGTCTGAAATACAGAATGCATTTCTAAAAGATATGCAGGTTTCATGTAAATACTTCAAATGATGTTGAATCCATACCTACATGCCATGGTAAGTTGTTCCAATGGGTTAATGATCTTCAGCATTAAAAAGCTGCATCTTATTTCTAATTTGAATTGGTCTGGTTTCAGCTTCTAAATACTGCTTCTTATTAAGCATGTTTATGCCAAATTAAAGATCTGTCCACTGTCAGACGTCTCTCCTCTTGTAAGAACCCAGAGACCGGGATCAGGTCACCTCTAAACTTTCTCCTGGATTCCTCTTGGAAACTATCTAGACTAAGCGTCTTAAATTTGTCACTGTGAGGCAGAAGTCTGATGAAAAGAATATGGGTGCTGTATTGAGCTGCAGCAACTACTTACTGTACATAGAGAACAAATCCCTCCATGAAATAAGGGATGCTGGGTATGAACCTTAAAACTGCCACAGCAGATGCAGATTTCTGTGAAAGAAAAATATTTTAATTCAGAATATCTAGTCTTTTAATTTGTTTTTCTGTCTTACCTATTCCTCCCTGTGCCATGAAGATGTACAGTTCTACACATGAATACCGCATGCCGCTGGAGGCTGTGGGGGCACGGCGAACTCCCTCAGACAGCAGTGGCGGTGTCAGCAGTGGGAGCGTGGTGGCAGCGAGTGGTGAGCTCCCATAGGCCGCCACGGTGGTGCTGGCAGTGGGCACCAACCGGTGGTCAGCGACCACCCGCAGATGCCACCAGCAGCACTGGCAGTGGCCAGTGGTGATCAGGGACTGCCCGCAGAAGTTGCTGGCAGTGTCGGTGGTGCAGTGTGGGGTAGCAAGTGCTGACTGGCTTCACGCACTGCCAAGCTCAGGGGGTGCACGTACACCCACATGCACCCGCTATGCATTGGCAATGGTTCTACATACATAGACTGGATACTTAGGGTGCTTATATATGTGCATTGAGGCTGCAGCGACGGACTGTAATTACAGCACATTGGAGCAGCTGCTGGAGTGTGGTAATTACCGTGCTCCAGCAGAGTCCAGCATCATGTGTATTGGTGTCACTGCACTGAAAAATGGTAGTAAAAGTGCTTTAACTAAAGCTTGGTTGAAGAGCTTTACTTAAACCGCCCCTGTTGCCATGTTTCAGCATGGGGATGCTGATACATGTGATGCTCTGGATGCTTTAATTACAGCAGCTTTTGGAGCCACTTTAAAGTGCCGCCCTACCTCTCAGAGCACATGTATAAATGCCCTTAAAGAATAGAAGCTTCCAGATTAATATCTCTCATCAATACTGCTCAACATATCTATGATAAATGGAAAGCAGGAACAGGAGTATATCTCAGTGCTTTAGAAACTATATTTTAAAAATATAGTTCTAGTTTGTACATCTGAAGGAATATAGAGAAAGGGTCAACATTACTAATAAAGCCAAAGGAGTATTGTATTGATAAGATAAATAATGTTAAAAATGTTCAATTCTTTACTTTTGAGAGTTTTATTTTAATGTCACTTGTCTCAACTTCCCAAAATTCACAGGGCTAGATGTTCAACAAGGATCCCCAACTTAAACAAAAATATGTAAGAGTCTGTTTAGCCAATCATGTTTCTCTTGGCTTCAGATGTATTCACCATCACACAACACATGTTCTGGGGACTGCTACAATCTATTCACAAATGATCCTGGAAGGACTTCTGCTAGCCATGACAAGACAGCACTGTCTCCATGTCCATTCAGATTTCTTTTTCCTTTCTGAAATGGCATCAGTAATGCCAATTTTGCTAATATTTTTTATGGTGTGTTGTGTGCCCCTATTCATTAAAAATGATCTAAGACCAGAGGCCAGAGGACAATAAAGAACTGTTGGATATTAATATCTTTCAGGCATTACCAACCCAGAACAGATTTAAACTGGTGAATTGAAGTGAAAGTGACTGGACTAGTAATTTATGACAAACAATTATTCTAAATGTATATTTTATGTTTGATTACTCATTATTTTTGCTTGATTATTGCTTTAAGTTGGATGCTCAGTTTTTTTCATATTGGCAAATATGTAGTGTAATATATGGAAATTTAGACACCACGCTAAATATACCTAGTGTTTTAGATCATTTAGTTGCATTACTCACCTTCAATACTTCTCTGGTTTTCGATAACTTCATGCACAATGTGGTCTAGGGGAAAAGAACAAGATTCTAATAAAATTGTTGATTTCCTTAAAAATGAGAAAGAAACGCCTTTTAAGAGCTGGCACAGTTTGTCTTTCCCCTCTAAAAAAAAGAGGTTAAGACAAATGTAGGAGCTAATCCTGCACAAACTCTTCCACATGGAAAATTCCAGCCAAGTGCAGGCAGCAGGCTTTGAGGGTAGGTCTTTTGGTCCTGGGCTTCCTTTTTTTTGTAGATAAATAATGTCACTGACTCATGCACACAAGTGTAAAATAATAATACGAAACCTTCACTGCATATTAGTGTCTCATTGCTCCAATTTTTAAAATGCAGACACGATGCTGACACTGCAGGTCAGAGCATTGCAACAGTAGATAAGCTATCTATAGTAAAATTGTTAACATTTTTTAAATTTCTTTTGAAAACACAGATACCTCTGTTAGGGCTTGTTATCTCTTCAACAGAGCCAAGCGATACCACATCAGAAGTGCTGTCTTTCTCAAGTGATGTAGCTGCAAGACAAATCAGGCACTTGTTAAGTTTGCTGGACAGTGACTCCACTATTAATAGTGTTGCTTCTTTCTAAGGAACTAGACCTATGCACAAGTAACCATGTGCTACTGATTTTCCCATCCCTTTAGATAAGGGGACCAAGGTCCCCTGCATTCTTCAAACACCTGGGAGATGCAAGATTAGCTGAAAGGGATTTAGCCTGTTATTCCAATGTGTAAAATGGCACGGGCTATCCTGGGGGCTAGTGTGCATTTTAAAGCAGTGGTTTTGTACAGGGACCCATTTGTAAACATTGATGGCCACTCCCAACCTAGTGCCCCTCACTCCTGACCTGCTGCCCCTCCTGCCCCCAGCCCCCAGGGCAGGGTGGGGGGACATAGGGGGAACTTTGCCAGCTTGCAAGGTTAAAGGTTTCCCATATTTTCCTCTTCTAGAGGAGAACCCATTTGTAAACGTTGTCGATGCATTTTAAACGTCTGTTTGCGCCCCTTTCATGTATTCTTGCAACCCATGAAAGGACTGCAGCTCCCCCACTGCCCGCATGCCCTTCACTAATGAGCAATTAACCTTTCCTTGAGATCGCCTTTCCTTTCCTGGTCGCCCGGGCAGATCCCAGCCTTGCCTTTGGCCTCGCAGCAGGCGGGGCTGGCGAAGCTGTCGGAGCCCAGGCTCTCGCCCTGTGCGGGCAGCTCCGGGGGAGGGCACTGATCTCCCGAGCCCTCCCGGCTGCCTCCAGCCCTTCCCTTAGCTCACCCATGTCAGCCAGGCTGGGCTGCCCCTCCTCCAGGTCCTCAGTGCTGTCCGTGTCCGACAGGACCACGACCTGGGCCATGGCGGGCCAGGCGCACAGCCCTCGGGCGGGGCGGGGCGGCACGTGTGTGAGGGCGCTGGCCCTCGGCCCTCCAGGCCGGTACAAGGAGAGGGAAGGGCAGGGGCAGTACCGGGGAGAGCCAATGCAGACCCCTCACTGTGCAGGCATCGCTGGGGGGCTTGCTTTCGCTCCCCCCTACTCCAGTTCAGCTGCTTCAGGAGGACCAAAGCGCCCTCCTTCTTCACCCCATCACCCTCAAGATTGTAGAAGCTAACATTTATGCAAAACTCTTGCTTCAGAGATGATACCTTTTATTAGACCAACTAAGACATCACAACATTTTTTTTTTCCTGCAAGCTTTCTGGCGCACACACCCTTCCTCAGGCTCAGGGAAAGTTAAAGATGGTAAAAAGTCCCCATAGGTAGAAAATAAACTTCATTTCTGCACAGAGGAAGCTGAAGGGGGAAGTCTGTCCCCCTGGGTCAATGAGAGTGTCTTTGTGAGTCGCTCTTTGATGTGCAGAGAAGGCAGGATTGCTTCCCTGCTGGGGTCAGATGGCAGACAGGCAGGGAGGAATAAAAGGCATCATCTCTGAACCAAGAGTGCTAGAGGTTTCCATTTCTTTTCGTCTCAGACTAACACGGCTTTCAAACACATCCTTTTATGCAATGGTGTTGTTTGGAAGGGATTTGTCATAACTCATAGCTTTCACTTTTGGACTAGAAGAGTTTAACCAAACTTATATCCTTTAGTTTAGCTAACATCACATTTTATACATATTTTTTGAATTTCTTTTGAAAACACTGGTACCTCTGTTAGGGCTTGTTATCTCTGCATCAGAGCCAAGCCATAGTACATCAGAAGTGCTGTCTTTGTCAAGTGATACAGCTGCAAGACAAGTCAGGCACCTGTTAAGTTTGCTGACAGTAATTGAAAATGAAAAAGGATGCTCCCTCCCTCCCACAGATTTTTTTTTCTGAATTAATTGTCCAGTCTTTTATCCCAGATCCTATATCTAGCTCTTGCCTGTATACAGACAACACGAAATAAGACTAGCAGTGCTATGGGCATGCTCAGAGCAAGCTTGGAAGAAAGCAGTACAGAATAAAATAGCAAAAATAAGTCCTTATTCAGCTGCTCATGAATCACAGCTAGATTGAGAAGATTTTTGGTTAAACTCATCTAGGGGAATTAATATTTTAAGACCAGGCTAAACAAAGCCTTCGCTGAGATGAGATAGTTGGAGAAGGTCCTATTTTGAGCCAGAGGTTGGACTAGATGACCTCCCAAGGTCCCTTTCAACCCTCATTTTCTATGATTCTATGATTCAGTGTAAAGGGGTGTTTGGAAAGTCCTATCAAAGTGCCTAGGGCATAAGGAAACTTTTGCATTAATGTTACAAAACCCTAACTCATGCATATTTTAATGCAAAGTTTGCCTTATTAGAACCCAGATAAGTATGTCAGCCTATGGTCCAAAAAATATAATTTGATGCCTGAATACAAAAATTAGTTATGGGTCCAATCAAACAGCCTGGCATTGGGTGACACTGCCATTAATTTACTACATTACCACTAGCTAAATTACTATGAAGCCAAGAAAATACAAAACAAATACAGCAAAATAATTAGCTTCAACCAATACAGATTTCATTTTGCTGTGTTACTAAATATCCTGCTCAGCGCAACAGATAAAACTAGTTTTAATTCAAGCTGGTTCTATTTTCCATGTCTCCGTCTTTGACATTTGCTCTATAGTAACCTTAGTTATTCATCTCTGCAAACTTGTATCATTGTATCTTTACAGAGCTTTTGAATAGATTTGCTGTGATCTTGCAGGGGGATGTGATCCTCTGCTTTGGCTGCAGGGGTTTGTTACAAAGTTCTGCCTCAGAAGCCTTAGCTTTGATGGTAAAAGTAACAAAATGCAAAAATATCTAGTTGCGTGTCACACTTGGTTGTTTGTCACACTTCATGAGTTCTTCTCCAAAGGCTATTTTTTTTAAATTTCTCATCTGAACTTTCATTAATACTCGGGCTAATCCCAACATAGCAACGCTATAGTTAGGTTTGCTTAATGCATTGAGATTCTTGAGTGAAATGTATTCTGTGGACACACTGACATGTACAATTAATGTGCCTGAATTTTCTGGGCAGAAAATACAGGTGCATTCAACTGCGTCTCCTTCTGAAAGTGCATATGTTAGGAGCAAATTTGTTTCTGATGCTAGCAGTTCAATCTAGGGCTTCTCCTTCCCTGCTCTGGCCCCCTGAAGTGTCCAGGGGGAGCTCTAGGCTCTCACAGGTGCTAGCCCAGGGCTGGCAGGGGGCACAGGGGCTGGTCCTGATCTCCATGTCACTGAGATGAAGCTCCTGCCAAGACGGGACAGCTCTCCTTGTTCCCTGTGTGCCCCTGCTACCTAGGCTGAGCAGAACCTATTTGCTCCCCGTCACCATCTACACGTGTGCTTCAGCTCATTAGTTTAATGCACTGATTTCCAGTACCTGTATCTACAGGTACTAGAAAACAGCCCATTAGGCTAATTTACTGTGCAGTAATTGCTGCACACATGTAGATGCTGATACTTTACTGCACATTAGATTAGTCTAATGTGCAGTAAAGCATATTATGTAGGCACACCCACTAACTGCAACTTGTTGTTGTTAATTGTTATACAGACCCAACTCCTGCCTTTCCCACTACTAAATTGTGCTTTTTAGGATAGAAAAGCTATGAATTAAGACAGATCCCTTCCAAATAACACTACTGCATAAATGTTAGCTTCCATATTTTTGAGGGTACCTGTGAAGCTAGTGTATACCATCACTGGTGACAGTGGATGCTTGTTGACTTTCTTTTAGAGGATTATCAAAGATAAAGATCAACCTTTTAGTGGAAAGGGAAGATACAATCGAGCTACAGTGGAAAGAAGACATATGCCTGCTTTAGTGGGAAAATACATTTTGGAACACTAAGGGCACATCCAGATGAGTGTGCAATGGCTGTTTTCCTGGGGACAACTGCTAGTTGTCCCTGGGGAACACCCCTTTACATGTGCTCTGGCACAGGACAAATTGTCTTGGGTGGGGAAGGAGGGGCTGGGGCCAACACTTGGGCTGCCTCCAATAGCTTTCCTGGGGTCCTGGAGGCCTCCTGGGGCTCCAGTGGTGGTGATCTATGCATGCACAGCCTGGCCAGCAGCCAGAGTATGGCTCTGGCTAGCCAGGGTCCCATTTTTGGGCAGTGCATGCTGCTGCCACGTGTGCTGCCCCGCTTGTTTTTTTTTTGGCATGCTTTTTTTTGATACTGAGATTTAAAATGTTTTTAATTACAATGTTTTGCACTTACAATGTTTATAAATCGGCACCCTGTTTCAACTTTCTGAGGTTGGTTTTGACTTTACAATGCTTGATCCAATGCAACACCATGCCAGCAAACAAGTTCACTGCATTGCCCATCTCCCTGGAGAACATCTGTGGGTTGGAAGGGACCTAATAGATCTTCTAGCCCGACCCCCCGCCAGGGCGGGAGAACAACCCAAAAACACAAACAAAACCACTCACCCTAAAAACAAAAACGGGACTCAAATGAGTCCAGCCAGGTAAGTATCCAGCCTCTTCTTAAAGATCCCCAGGGTAGGGGCCAGCACCACCTCCCTTGGAAGTTGGTTCCAGCTCCTAGCCGCCCTGACTGTGAAGTAGTTTTTTCGGATGTCCAATCTGTACCTCCTCTCCATCAACTTGTGCCCATTATTCCTTGTTATGCCAGCAGGGGCTAGGGGAAACAGCGTCTCCCCCAAACCCTTCTGGTTCCCCCTAGTGAGTTTATAGACGGTCACCAGGTCCCCCCTCAGCCTTCTCTTGTGGAGGCTGAATAGGTTCAAGTCCCGCAGTCTCTCACTGTAGGGTCTGCCCTGTTGTCCCCGGATCATGCGGGTGGCCCTCCTCTGGACCCTCTCCATGTTGTCCACATCCCTCCTGAAATGGGGCGCACAGAACTGGACACAATACTCCAGCTGCGGCCTGACCAGCGTCGCATAGAGGGGGAGGATCACCTCCCTGGCTCTACTCGAGATGCACCTGTGGATGCACGACAAGGTCCGGTTAGCCCTGCCAACCATGACCTCGCATTGTCGGCCCATGTTCATCTTGGAGTCAATAATGACACCAAGATCCCTTTCCGCCTCCGTGCTCTCAAGTAGGGAGTTCCCCATCGTATAAGTGTGCTGCTGGTTCCTACTACCCAAGTGCAGCACCCTGCACTTGTCCGTATTGAAACGCATCCTGTTCCTGTCTGCCCACCCCTGTAACCTATCCAGATCCTTCTGCAATCTCTCTCTCCCTGCTAGCGTGCTCACCTCCCCCCAAATTTTGGTGTCATCAGCGAATTTAAACAGGTTGCTCTCCACCCCAACATCAAGATCGCTGATGAAGACATTGAACAGCGCAGGGCCCAGGACCGAGCCCTGAGGGACTCCACTACCCACCTCCCCCCAAGTCGAATATGATCCATCCACCACCACCCTCTGAGTGCGACCCTTCAGCCAATCTGCAATCCATCTGACTGTGTAGGCATCTATGCCACAGTCGCCTAGTTTACTAATTAGGATGGGGTGAGAGACGGTGTCAAAGGCCTTGCTGAAGTCCAGAAAGACTACATCCACCGCGACACCTGCGTCCATGGCCTTTGTGACCTGATCATAAAAGGCAATCAGGTTGGTCTGACATGATCTCCCCCTAATAAATCCATGCTGATTGCCCCTGAGCATCATTTCTGATGCCGGCCCATCACAAATGTGCTCCTTGATGATCTTCTCAAAGAGTTTTCCCAGGATTGAGGTAAGACTGACGGGCCTATAATTGCCCGGGTCCTCCCTTTTCCCTTTTTTGAAGATGGGGACCACATTAGCTACCTTCCAATCATCTGGCACCTTGCCCAAGCACCACGATCGCTCGTAGAGCCGTGCCAGGGGCCCTGCAATAACCCCAGCCAGCTCCCTCAGCACCCTGGGGTGGAGAGC